AAAATTAGGATTCTTTTTTCATCCTATTTTAATGGGGGGGGAGATGTGTCTTCTGATTTTTTTCAGCTTGATATTTTTTAATGCTTTTCTATTTCAACTGTGTTCTAATACAATTCCATATCTAAAGGAAAATGTTAACACGAGGAAATTGCCTTTTGGAGAACATGCTTCTGACCTTAACCCAGAAACATTGTGAATATTTATAGTTCATTCCCATTTGTAATGTCAAGAGTGTCAGCACAGTAGTGTGGTGAGAATAGATGGATCAGAGTCATAGAACTGGTAAGGACAACAAGGATCATCCAGTTCAACCCTCTGCAATGTGTGGCCAACCAGTTAAACTATCCATGGGAAATGGCTGTACAGTTTCCTAAAAACTCCAAAAATGGAAACCCTACAACCTTCATGAGATCATATATCTTACTAAGCCATAATGTACTTTGTGTGCTTGTTTGCACTGATATGAACTCAGCCCTGGGGTATGCAATTTGTAAATGGTACAATGTGTTGGGTACGTTCAGCTAACCATGACTTATTCAATAAACAATGAGTTACTATGATTTATGAACTCCCATCAATGGACATGAGAATCAGACACATTTATGGGAAAGGCAACATCTATATATGATCTAGATCACGGGTGTCAAACACATGACATTTCACATTTTCTCCATTTGTGGAATTGGGGTGGGCGTGGCCTGCGTGTGACACATCTGGCCCACGGGCTGCCAATTTGACACCCCTGATCTACATTTAACACAAAAGCATGGATATTAAACATAACTACTGTTGAATTCCACTCCCATTGGAGTTGGGATCACCAACTTGTAAACACCAGTTATTTGAAGCAATCTAAATGGTATCTACAGATTACATGTTTTAAAATGTATTTACACAGAGACGGCTAGTGTTTTATAAAAGCATTACATCCAGACATTAATGAATGCTTGTTAATTCTGGGTGAAGAACTGGTCCATCTGCCTGGGCATGTTAGATGATCCAATGAGGTGGGAGTACCGCAATTTAAAAATCATACTCTTGGCATCATTTTGGTTTTCCTGCTGAGATTCCCAGGAAGCCGCTTCTCAGTGGCTTCAGCTAACAGTAGAGAAAATATTAGACCACCAGAGCATCTGTAACTATAGCTTTCTCTTGACTTGCTAGATGTTTTTCTTGGATCTACATACCTGTCAGTGGGTTTTAAAGACTTTTTCTACCATTGTTGTTTGATGATTGAATGACAAATTTACATGGAAAAATACTGTGTTTTCATGAGAATTATGATGCTTAGAGTTTAAAAACCAAATGATCTGTTGTTTTCAGAGTCGGTACTGAAGGGCATATATATTAAACATAGCAAAATATCTATGGAGATTCTCAGTCGTCCAGGTCATGGTTGTCCCAAAGGTGCTTTTTCAAGAGGCAACTGGATTTTGTTTTTTTCTTTGAAGACGTTTCGCTTCTCATCCAAGAAGTGAAGAAGCTTCTTGAATGAGAAGAGAAACTTCTTCAAAAAAAAAACCCAGAAAGTCCAGTTGCCTCTTGAAAAAGCACTTTTGGGAGTAAACATAGTTAATGTAGTTTCCCATCCAGAAAAACAAAAATGATTACTAAGAAAATACCAGATTGTGACCTGGCTCAAGACTTCAACAAGGGGCAACATATTTTAATCCTACTGTTTAGTTTCATTCATGTCAAGGTCCCCAGATAGGATGACTAGACCAGTGGTGGGTGCCGGATCCCATTGCAACCGGTACGGTTGCAACAGGGCCCAGCGTCCTCCACATGAACATGCACAGCGTGTGTATATATCTTACCATCCAGCAACGCCTCCACAAGCCTCCACGATGCTCCAGCTGCTCGGCAGAGCATTGCTTGCACTGTATACGCATGCGTGGAAGCGGCAAAGGGTTTAAAGACAGGTAAGGAGCACGGGTGGGCCCTCCAGAGCACCATACTGGAACAGTACCCGGTGCTCCTAGCAGGCTCCGGTGTGCCCGTACTGGGGCGTACCACTTGCAACTCACCACTGGACTACACAAATGTGATGTTCAACTTGGTCCCAGATTTCTAACTTTACAAGTGCTTCCCCTCTTGGATATCTGCATGTTGTAGGATAGGATAGGTCCACTGCTAGTATTCCAGCTTGCTCCGTATCATCCTCTCTTGGTCTAGCAGGACCCTCTTTTCAACCTGCTGTCCTTATTTGTAGTGACTACACCAGTGTTTCTCAACTTTGGCAACATTAAGGTATGTGGACTTCAAGTCCTAGAATTTAAGACTGACTGGGAAATTCTGGAAGTTGAAGTCTATGTATCTTAAAGTTGTCACGATTGTGGAATATTGTTCTACATCAGAGGTGGGTTCCTACCAGTTCGCACCTTTCGGTAGAACCGGTTCGTCAAATCTACTGAACCGGTTAGAAGAGGTTCCACCAGTGGACCCGGAAAGCAAGCCACACCTACAGAAGAGGTTCCAAACTTTTTTGAAACCCACCACTGGTCTTTGGATATGATTATTCTACACTATCATGCTCATATTTATAAAACTCAGTGCCTCTGTGAAAGGTAAGGATGACTACTGCGTTTGTGGGGCAATCAGATCATTGTGTGTGTTGAAGTTGTTCTAACGCAAACCAAAGATACATACCAGTGCTGTGTGTGAGGTAATTTAAGGTGGTTCTGACAAGTGTCGGCATTTTCATATCTGGTCACATGGGCGGCAAGCCACTCCCACAAAGGAGGCCACACCCACAGTAGGTTCGAACAATTTTTGAAACCCACCACTGTTCTACATCTATAAATAAGCCATACAATGGCCAGAATGATCAAATAGCTATTTCACAATTGCATATTTCCATTAGAAACAGCAATGCTTTGCTTTCTTCATTGGAAGTACAACAAAATAAGAGAGTTGGAAGGGACCTTGGAGGTCTTATAGTCCAACCCCCTGCTCAGGCAGGAAACCCGGTATTTCGGACAAATGGTTGTCCAATCTTTTCTGGAAAAAAACGTCAGTGTTGGAGCACTCACTATTGGAGGCAAGTTGTTTCACTGATTAATTGTTCTAACCATCAGGAAATTTGTAAAAGTGTGAAAGATGTGTGCCAGGCCACGAGCTGGGCTGTGCATGTGACAGTCCAGACTGACAGCAGTGACTAATTGCTTTTGTTTCTGTTGCTGCCGCAGGTTTGCAATATGTGGCACACAATAAGGTTTTTTATTCTTCGTTCCATTAAACTCTTAAGTCTTCCATGTAACTGAAGCCCATTTTTTCTGTTCTCTTATATATGATACAGTCACAGTGACGACTTCTTGCCCTCCAAGCAGTCTCACTGGTTGCAGTTTTAGGGGGGGGGGGGCGGAGTTGACGACAAAGTATTCATACACACTCTATCAAACAAACCTATAATGATGTATTTTAAAAAAGTTAATGGTGTATTTAAAACTTGTGCAATCACCTAAACCAGTTCCTAAAGCAGCATTTTGCAACCCACTAATTAATATGGTGACTCTCCTTTTGGAATCCAGGAAGCGCTCAAAAGAAAGGCAAGCCCAAAGCTAAGCCATTGGTCTCCAGTTGCGTTAAGGCAAAGCAACCAGAGCCTTTGCTGCAGTTGGGAGTCTGGAGCAATCTTCCAACAGGATTGGGCTTAGAAGACTCTTTCTGCAAAGACTTTGGGATAATAAGCTTTGTCTCACTATTATAGGGTGTACAGGTAATCCTTGACATAACGACACTTGGGATCAAAACTTCCAATGCTAAGCAAACTCATTTGAGACATTTTTTTGCAACAATTACTGCAGTTGTTAAGTTAATCACATGGTTGTTGAGCTAATCTGGCTTCTCTTATTGACTTTGCTTGTCAAGCAGTCTGGGAAAGTCACAAATGGAGATCACATAACCCAGGGATGCTGCAGTGTCATAAATACATACTGGCTGCCAAATGCCCAAATGTTGATCATGTAACTGTTAGGATGCTGCAATTATAAGGGCAAAGAGCAAGCATAAATTATTTTTCTCATTGCCATTGTAATTTTGAATGGTCACTTAGCAGAAGGTTGTAAGTTGAAGACTATTTTTAATGTTAGGATTTATGCCGAATAGTGCTTCAATTTCTCTTGCCATTCATTATCTGGATGTTAAGGAAAGACTTGTCCCATCATGGCAAATGGGATTTTAGCTCCCAACTGGTTCTTCTTTGAGACACAGTTTGGTGTAATAGTTAAGGTAGTAAGCTGAAAGTTGCTGGCTGGGTGACTGGGACAGTCTCAGTCTAATCCACGTCACATGATTGTTGTAGAAGGAGAATGATATGTTTGCTGCCTTGAATTGCTTATAAAAGTAATAAAGTCAAGATAACAAAAAAAGCAATTTATTTTACAATTATAGCAGTTGGTCAACAATGATACTAATAAAATAATAGACATGTCAAAAAAAGTGGCTTTTTAAAATGACTGGTTTGTTTTCTTAGCAGTGTGATAAGACATGAAAAGTTGAGAATTACCGTCCTACATTAATAAATGTGGTGGGAGGAAAGCAAATGTTGTGTTTATTTAGGACATTAACCAGCTGATGCCTGCATCTATCCCAACAAATGCAACACAGTTCTATGCAGCAGTGTTCCTCCAAAAACGGAGTTTTATCTTCTCCTCAGACAGATTTTGAAGTCTAAAATAGCCTACAAAAAGAATTAAATCACAGAATGCATAGGCTTTGGCATTACGTTTTGGGAATGGAAACCATACATTAGGAGCTTTAAGGCATCCTTTTTAATTTTTCAAAATCACAAAAATGCTCAGGGCAAGGACTTCACTGCTACCAAACAAAAGGACTCCAAAAAGTCATTCTCCCTTTGCCCAACCCACCTGAAAGAGGAGTTGTAGGGGAAAGATGGAGTATTGCACATATTCACTGCCATGAGTTACTTATAAAGTAATAAAGGTGGGATAAAATTCTAAAAAAATATATGTTGTGTCAGATTAATCGAGGAAGGTGCTTTATAAAATCAAACAGAGTTTTGATGAATATTTGTGGCCCTGATAGGAACACAGATTTTTCTTTGACCTTTCTTTCGTGAGTTCAGGTTGGCTGACAAGAGGGACAATTTCCATGGCCTGTTTTCTCTGCACTCGGTGAAGAACAATTCTGTACGTCCCCGTTACTGAGGTATAGTAATCTGTCCCGTGGTTATTCTGAATGTGCTTTTCTGTGATTCCCAAATGGTTCAAAATGATTTTTACCTCAGCCTCTTCCTTCTGGAGAGTTTTGTCCTCTGACAAAAACCTGGGATCCAACTTAAAGGGTTCCAAGGGTTTGGGATACTGCACACCATTCATCCATTCACTGTTCATAATTTTGTCGATGGACCAGCGTTCTGACGGAACTGGTTGTAGGATCGCCCAAATCAGTCTCTGGCAAGGTTCAGACAGGAATGGTGGCACGCTATATATCCCACCAAGAATGTACTTTTTTAGCTTGGCCACCGTGTCTGCTTGGAATGGCATGAACCCCGTGGTCATAAAATACAGGAGGATTCCTAGGGCCCAGATATCCACATAAACCCCAATGTAATTTTCATCTCTGAAAAGTTCCGGGGCGGCATAAGGAGGAGAACCACAGAAGGTGTTCAAGGGTTCCTCTTTTTGACTTACTGTGCTGAATCCAAAATCTCCCACCTTCACACACGTGTTACTGGCGTAAAAGATGTTTTCGGCTTTCAGGTCCCGGTGAATTATGTTGTTCTCATGCTGCAGAGTAGAATTTAAAAGTATAGATATAAGCAAAAAGCTAAGGCAGATGGTGCAATATGGAAACTCATTCATTTTTTAGGGTTTTAAACTCTATCTGTGCTAAAAATGCAAATTTAGAATTTTTAATAAAAGCATTGAGGCAGAGATGCGAGAAATAATAAAGCGTGTTAAGAATTCTGTGCAAAATTATCAGGAGGACTGTTTTACAAGCTTCCTTAAGGATATTGTAATCTCTCCCTTGCATTTTCTCCTGGGCTGAGTTTTTCAAGATCGAATAACCACTTGTCTGGAATGATCTGAGAATTTCAGCTCTGAGTGGGGACCTCCAAAGTCCTTTCCAAAGTGTACAAGTCTATGATTCTATAAGCAATATAGGAAAATGGAAGACAGGCTGGGAAACACTGAACAATGCGATCAGTTCTGGCCACATAGTCTGAGTGAAGGCAGATTGAGATGGTTTAGGAATATATGAAGAGGCGAAGGAAATAGCAGCTGAAGAAACCCACAGCAGGTGGAGCTGGCAGGCAGAGCAATGGGGGCTATGAAGAATTAGAGAGTACTGAGCATGCTGCAGTATTGGATGCAAGCGAGTGGATGTTTAAAGGGATCTGAGGTTAACGAAAGGATGGGAGGAATCAGCTCAGAAACAGTATGGAGAGAAGCAACATTCAAGAGGTGGGCAGAGATGGTTTGGTCACTTTGAGGAATGTAACTGGGTATCTTAGACCACACCTAGCAGACTTCTGTCCCCTTGCCTTAATCATATGGCTTAGCATTGAATACACGGCTGTCAGGTACCACTCATGTCCCTTGTCTTCTTCCTTGAATTTGGAAGCCACACCCTGATTTGCAACTCCTTCAATTAGGAGAAACTTGCAAGAGAAGCCAGTAGTATGAGCAAGAGGTAAAGAAAAAGTGTTTGTCACAACTTAGGGCAGTAGGTAGCCTATATGGGTTTGCTACTTGCTCTGGGAACTCTCAAACTGAGGAGCAGGCTGTAACTTGGAATTAACAAATTCAGGGAAGATGATAAGTGTTCCAAAAAAAAACAAATATAAAACAATAGATTCCATCTAACTATAATAATTAAACAGAAGAAATTGTGATGCCCTATGTACTTCCTTTTCACGCACAACTTTGACATGCAGAGTCTAAAAAAAAATCTCTTATCCTCAAAGAGTAGATTGAAAGGCAGAGAACTACAATACCTGGCCTTCAATCGCAATTACTATTTTTCTAACAGTTAATTTAGTTTTCAGCAGCTACTGAGCTACCACTCCAGAGGTGGTATTCAGCAGGTTCTGACCAGTTCTGGAGAGCCAGTAGCAGAAATCTTGAGTAGTTCAGAGAACTGGTAAATACCACCTCTGACTGGCCCCACCCCGTCTATTCTCTGACTCCCAAGTCCCAGCTGATCAGGAGGAAATGAGGATTTTGCAGTATCCTTCCCCTGGAGTGGGGAGGGAATGGAGCTTTTACATTATCCTTCCCCTGCCATGCCCACCAAGCCACGCCCACAGAACCGAATACTAACACTTTTTGAATCCCACCACTGTACCATACTCATCAACCCCAGACAGAAAGGACTCACCAGGTGTTTAACGGCCGACACAATCTGAGCAAAAACGTGCTTGCTTTTTTCTTCCGATAACTTCCCATCTAAGATGATTTTAGCAAAGAGCTCTCCTCCATTAGCATACTCCATGACCAGGTACAGTTTGGAGAAGGTCTCCATGACCTCATAAAGCCTGATAATGTTTGGATGGTGCAGCTTCTCCATGCTCGAAATCTCAGAAGAGAGGAGCTTCTTGGTATTGTAGTCTAATTTACTTTTATCCAGGATCTTAATGGCTACTTTTTCTGGAAAATATCATTTTGAGGTTCACATTGTTAGGCAACAAGGCTAAGAAAAATAGTACAAAACATTATTCAAGAATAACAAATTGAGAAGAATTCTGTCCTGCTGAGATGATAAATTAATTCATGTGAATCAACTTCACATGAACCTGAACGCATTATTTTACACAATTATCAGCTTTTAAAGAAGATCTTGACTCCCCAAGTGAAGTAAGTCTTGCCACTTAGAAAGGAAAAAAAATAGAAAAATTGAATAGATCAATTTGTGCACAATCCTCTGCTGATGCTTTGCAACTAAGCTTGACATGTGACTGGTATCTCCGTTGATCATTTGGATATACTTGGCTATTTGGGGCTTATGATTATCATATCCAAAGATTAGTAGTAGAGATTACAAAGACTTTTGAACCTAATTTAGTCCTCCAGCATGAACATCCAAGCCTGCTTGTGTAACAGAAAAATCTATCATTGGAAGTATTTCTAGCAGGATTACCAGATTCTGCAACAGCTTTGTTCCCTATGCCATCTGCCTGGTAAACTCGCAAGATTTGTTTTTCTCACCATGTACATGTATGCATCTGAACTAGACTGTGTTGTTTCTCTTAATATATGTGGGTATATGCATAACTTTATATTTATTTTGTCATGTTTATGTAATGTATATTGGAAGTGGTGACCCTTTGAGAGCTGTATGCAACAAAATTTCATTTTAATGTATGTTGATTAGTGTACATTCAAGGTGACAATAAAGTTATCCTAAAGTCTTTTTTAAAAAAAATCTAAATATACTTGATTTACCCAATTTTTCTGCGTTAGGCATAGGGCAAAAGAAAAACACACACTTTGGGCTGCCTTTACAAGTTATTCCCATGTTTCAGTTCAGCTGGAATTATTGATTCTCTTGAAATGCTCCTGAAAATTGCAATGTAAGCTACCAGTTAATAAAGACTTTGCAAACCTGTAAACGAAAGAACATTCACTATTTCTTTGTCTTACATGAAATTCCGTGATCCAGGGCCAGAGCTTCATAGCAATAGCAATAGCACTTAGACTTATATACCGCTTCACAGTGCTTTTACAGGCCTCTCTAAGCAGTTTACAGAGTCAGCATATTGCCCCCAACAATCTGGGTCCTCATTTTACCAACCTTGGAAGGGTGGAAGGCTGAGTCAACCTTGGGGACTTGAACTGCCAAACTGCTGGCAAATCAGCAGTCAGCAGAACTAGCCTGCAGTATTGCACTCTAACCACTGCACCTGCACAAAAGTGCACAAAGTATGCACAAAGTATGTTAAAAGAACAGTCAATAAATACGTTAATCTTTCAGCTTTTGCATTAATTGGGATGATTTAGCCTGAATTGCTGCTTTCAGGACATTGTCGTGGCCTGCCATCAGCCAGCGGAGCTGGTAGCAAACTCAAGACAGTGAAAAGGCTGGGGAGGAACATGGGCCAGTCCTGGTGTCTAGGGAAGGCTCTGACGAGTCAGGGGCCAGGGCTGTCTGACAGTTATCAGCTGCCTTTGGAGTCAGACATCAATGGGGCAGAACAACAGCAGGCGCCTGTTCTCAATGTGTGCATGCGCAGAGCTGCCAGGAGAAGGGAACAGCTAAGGAACAAGGGTCAACTCAGGAGTAAAGCCACAAGTGGACGGTGAATGGCCCCTCCCATAGGGAATAAAGAGGAGCGAAAGGGGAGTGGAGTTTGCAGGAGACAATTAGTTCAATTCATTAGGGTGAAGATCTGTTCCTGAATTCTTGCCAAGTATTGTCTTTCTACAGAGTGGCATTTGGAAGATATTGGCCTGGCAATTCTCCAAGCCTGATAAAGGTCTGTAGTTGTGAAATCTCTTGAAAGACTGTTGCCTTGATTTTGCTGGAGAGGAATTCACCTTAAACTAAATTAAAGGGGTTTTATTGGGACGAGGAGTCGGCTTCGTGCTTTTGGGAAGCCTAGGTCAGAACAGACACATCTTTTCTGTACTGTATATATGGGAGTATATGTACTCCCAGTATATGGGAGACACATATAACACGGGACTTTTTCAAACAACATTGTTTTGCGTCTTCTCTTTGGCCTACATGAACCCTCCATAACTCAAGTTCCATTCACTGAATTGTTCTTACCTTTTGTCAGAGTATGTATTCCAAGTTTCACTTGGGAGAAGTTCCCACTTCCAATTTTACCTCTAATACTGTAAAACCCAATCCTCTTTCCCAGAGTTAATTCTTTTACTATTTTTTCACTTTGGGACATATCTAATATAAGTTTCTCAAATGGGGTCAGTTGGTGTTGATTGCCTGGGTGTGTTTCTGTGTTCAAAACTTCATTAGCATTGTTCTCTCCATTATCTTCATGATTCCACCTATCATTACTGTGGCTCCCTGGATCTCCATTGCAGTGAACCATACTCATGGTCCAGGGAAAGACACATATCCATGGAATATAATAAATTGATTCCAGGGAAACCTTAAAAAAGAACCTGCAATTGTAGAAGCAGCCATGAGTTCAAGATCAGTTCAGTATTGAGTATATGGAATTTCTGGGGTAGCCAGAGATGTCAAGTTTCTTCCAATTAAAGTCGATAGTTAAAGTGGATTCATTTCCTCTAATGTTCATTAGCCATTTTTAACTGCCAAGGAAGATGGTAGTGCTTATGACATGCAGGTTTAGTGAAAGATTTGCAATCAAAGCTACAAACTCATTATCTCCTAAGCAGGGAATGGTGGTGCAGCACCCAATTTAATACTTCTGAGGACTCGGGTTTCAAGATTCTAACCATTCACACAAATCCAGGGCTGATGATTCTGTATACATTCTGATCCCTTAGAATAGCTGATCACGTCAAAGAGGGGAGATGAGTGGAGGTTCTTCTTCTTCTTCTGATTCAGATCTCAGCCCAAGAACTGAACTGTTGCGATATTCATTATTATACCCTTTGGTCAGCCATGTTTCTGCTCCAACCTCTTGCAAAGTTCTGCTGTCATGATGTCACTTGTGTTCCTTCCGTTGTAGCTGCAGGGAAAAGGGGTGACACCAGAGGATGCTAGGAAGACTTTAAGCGCACAAGAGGCTGAGGGAAAGAGAAAACAAAATGTATTTTACCAATGAAGTCACGTGAAAGATCAGTGAAATGTCAACGAAAGGGCTGTCATTTCAACCATCTTCGGTTTAGAAGATGGCTTGCTTTCATATTCCCACTTCTCCAAATATTGCCAGCTGCATGCCTTCCTAAATGGAAAGAGATGCTATTTATTTAGTCATTCATTTATTTTAGTTTATTATCCATTTGCATAGACACCCATCTCAAACCATCTCTGGGATGCAAATAATCATAAATAAATGCAATCCTAGCAAGTCTTGCCTCATTTGTCGTGCAGGCCTCTGCGTGTATGTGTAACACACACCTTCAGGTTAGTTTTGACTCCTGGCAATTGCCTGGACAAGTCCCAGCTGTTTCATTGGCCAGATTTCAGAAGCAGTTTGCAATTTCCTCCTTTCTGGGGATGACAGAAAATGACCTGCCTAAGGTGACTCAGCTGGCTTTGTGCCAAGAGCAGGACTAGAAATCAGTCTCCTGGTTTCTAGCCAGTGCCTTAACCACTAGAGATGCACTGGGCTCTCTTGCAGGCCTGTAGGGCATCTGTTCACACTCTTCTAATTACGTACTGTTTACCCAAGTGTTACCACTGAATGCTTTTTACCAACACTGCGCAAACAGTGTTGATAAGAAGAGAGATGGTGCATTCTGACCCGTTACTTGTAGGCTGGCGCTGGTACAATGCTCTCTCCCTTTCTGTTTAACATTCACATGAAGCCACTGACTGCAGTCACTTGCTGCTTAACTTGGATATCATCAAAAAATGATGATACTCAAGCTGTATGTTTCAACCCCAATCTAGCCAAATGATGCTGTCTCCATCCTATTCCTATGTCTGAAAGTTGTGTGAGTTGGATGAGGAGGAACAGATTCAGGTTCAGTCTGATCTATGATCAAGTGGCCCTCCTCTAAGCTCTTGGGTGTGCTTTATTTCAGTAGTATATGGAATTGTCTTGTATGGCCACAGATGGGTTTTTCCCAGATAATGGTGATGATTTTAATTATAAGTTGCTCTGAGTAATTCTGGAGTCAAGTAGTATTTAAATCTAATAACCCAAACAACAGATAAAGAACGAGTCATAGGTTGCTCTTGACTTACAACCACAACTGGAACTTCTGTTGCTAAATTGTTAACTTCTCTTGGTGATCATTAAGTGAATCACACCCAATTTTATTATCTTTTTGCCGCACCCATTTATCAAATCACACAGTCATTAAACTAATCCAGTTTCCACGATTGATCTTACTTTTTAGAAGCTGTTTGGGAATGTTGAAAATGGCAATCACATGACCCGGACTGGAGGCTAAAACATATAATGAAGAGTTACAGGAACTGGGCATGGCTAGTCTATTGAAGAGAAGGGTCAGGGGAGACATGATAGCAGTGTTATTTCCTGTCAACTTACAGGAGTGCAGTGAATGAATCCAATGTTCATTGTTACAGGATGAAAAACAAAAATAAATGTCTATAATTCTGTTGCTTTCCTTTTGTTTTCAAGTTGTATTAAGAAATCCCAAGTGTTTTAGCACAGTTTTATTTAATTAAGCTCACTTTAATTTGCTGTGGATACTACTAGAAAAATGGATATTTTGGAACAGATGCATTTTCCCCAGTTCAAAACAAAAATAGTACCATTCTAGTTTAGGAACATGACCATCATGATTCATAATTCTCTCTTTGCATCCAAGGAGACAGTTAACATCATATTGGTTCTTTTGCATCTTAAAATGCCTCTTATTTTGTTAAAGCACCTCAAATTTCTGGAGAGGTTTTCTACCCATCACTATATAAAGTGAGCACTGTAAAAATGCAGTTGAAGAAAAATAGCAATTTCAAACAAATTCCTTGATGTAACTTGCATTGCAATTACCAACCTTCTACTTTAATGATATTTCTTTGGCAAGCTTTTAATCTCTGGGTGAAGTTGGCAAGGCTTTAAGCAGCCTGCTGCAGTTATATCACTTTCATTGCTTTTAACTCAAGGAGATGTAATTTACAGTAGGGTATATTTAACTTCGACTGTTGGCGGAATGATTTCTGTGCTCTTTTCAAGAAGCATGAATTTCAGAGCAGTCCCTTAGGTGAAAAATGAAGCCGCAATGTCTTTCTCATAAGATATCTTATAGGCATGATGGCCTTCAACTCCCATATTTCTTTGCCAGCAGAGAGGGCATTAGATTATGGAACACTTCAGAGGAGTCTTGCAAACACTGTAATAATAATTTTGGGGTATGTGCATACCTTCAAGTCAATTTTGACTCCTGGAGACTGCCTGGCCTAGTCCTTGCAATTTTCTTGGTCAGATTTCACAAGTAGTTCCCATTGCTTCTTTCCTAGGGATGACCAAGAGGGATTGGCCTCAAGTTCACTCAATTGGCTTCGTGCCTACAGCAGGACTAGAATTCACAAGTCTCCTGGTTTCTAGCCTGATGCTTTAACTATGTAATAATAATAATATAAATTAACAAGTTGACTAGTTTAGTGCAGAGGTGTCAAAACATGTGTCATCCTGGCAGCATCACGTGATGTATCGGGACTTCCCCCCCCCTTCACTAAACTGGGCATGGGAGTGGCCAGCATGTGAAACATCCGGCCCATGGGCCGGGAATTTTACAACCCTGCTTTAGAGTTTTCAATGTTCTATTTTCTTTCCTGCTCCCTTCTAATGCATATATTTTACCTACGGAGGTTTACAAGTTTTAAACTCAATATAATGTTTAAGAATCAAATCCCAGGAAACAGGGTAACATTGAACTCCAGTTGTAAAGTTTAATCAATATCTGATTTTAAGCTAGGCTTCAAAAGAGCTATTGCTTTGTTTTCAAGGCATAAAAAACATAAAAGAACGCAGCCTCTAATTATTTAAATGGATTTATTAAGTAATGTGTTCCTTTCCTAAAAGCAGCTGCAGCAGCTTGGCATAAAAAAAAATCACACAGCTGTAACCTCCTCCTCATCTGATCCTCTCATGTTTGTATTTTTTTCCTTTGGTCACACTAGTCAACCATTCTCCCACCTCTTTGAAATACAAAGTACACAGTCCCCCCAAGTGGAGTTATAATGAATAGGAAATATTTTAAATTAACCTTTTCCTTGGTTCACATTTCCATTTGTTCTTTGAAGTACCTTTGCCACTACTATACCACAGGTGAAATGGAAGAGGGGATCTCTTATAATAGCCATTTTCACTCTTTTCAATGTTTCCTTACTGTCCTTTATCATAATAAACTAACTTTCTACCAGTGTTTGCATATCTTAATAGTTATTCTTCTTTAATAAACATTCTACCAACCTGCAGAATGTATACACCAACTCAACTTTTGCCATTTGAATCTAACTTGAAACTGTTTACTACATTTCTTTTTCAAACATAATTATCTTGCTCTTTAATATATTAATTTCCAGACCCATACAGCCGGCTCCATCATACAATCTTTGGAACATTTTACTGCAAGTAATCTGGGTTTCCAGCCAACAGTACAATAATATCTGCATACTAAAGTACTTGAACATTCATATCCTCAAGTGTCACATCTCTAATATTATAAGAACCATTCCTTCTACATTTACCCATTAATACATTAAAGAACCATGAGCCATCCAATATCTCACCTAACACTGAACTATTACCTAAGCATTCATTCCACTTATTCTCCCAGCTTACTTCAATCAAGTACAAGGCTTATCACACTTGTCAACTAAGTTCCAATTTCTATTTTAGAATATTTTAGCCCAAAGGAAAGAAGAACTAAAAGATGTGACCAAAGAGAAAGGAAGTATGTTTAAAAAAGTAAGGTATGGTTCGAATAGAATTGTTGTTAATTGCGAAGTCGTGCCCGACCCATCGTGACCCCATGGACAACATTCCTCCAGGCCTTCCTGTCCTGTACTAGCCTCTGGACTCCATTTAAGCTCACACCTACTGCTTCAGTGACTCCATCCAGCCACCTCAGTCTCTGTTGTCCCATTCTTCTTTTTCCCTCAATCATTCCCAGCATTAGGCTCTTCTCCGGTGAGTCTTTCCTTCTCATTAGGTGGCCAAAGTACTTGAGTTTCATCTTCAGGATCTGGACTTCTAAAGAGCAGTCAGGGTATCATCGAATAGAATTAGGTGACAGCAAAACAGACGTTGTTGTTGCAAAAAACTACAACTGCAGCTGTGTGCCTAAATACAGTATGAAAGCTGAGAATTGCATTTAGTCTCTGGTTTATCCCTGGATATTTCTTTGAAAAAGAGTTTGCTTTCTGATATCTATAAACTTAGTTCCCTGAAATGCAAGACTACAGTAGTATGAATAGAGAAATCTTCTTCTA